GGGTTCGGGGATCCTCAGAGGTGATCCTGTCCAGCTCTCGCTAAGGCCCCGAGGCCGGTGGACAACTGCTGCCCTTTGCTCGGAAGGGGACACTGAGTCCACAGGGCGTTCCAACATGGGGCTGACCCCTCTCAGGCGAGGTCCCCAGAGCTGGCGGCACCTCCCACAGAGGCCCCATGGTGCTCATGGAGCCCAAGAGAAGGGGCAGGCCACGCACCAGAGGCCAGCGGGGAGGCAGAGGGACGTCAGGAGGGGAAGAGTGGACACAGGCCTGCTGTGGAGGCAGCCGGGGAGGCCTCGCAGCTCGGCATTGGGTGGTGGTCCAGGAGGTAGAGGAAGGGCTTCCTGGCCTTTGTGGTCCCACAGTCTCAGGGGACGGGGGCCAGGCGGGTGACCAGCCCCAGGGACCAGTCCTCTCTGGGGTCCTTGGAAACAGATGCAGCCGAAACGAGGAGGCTCCAGGGGGGAAAGGCGGAACTGGGGAATTCCTGTGTATTTTGACTTTTGAGAACAGTATTTAAATGATATGTAAGTTTACACCAGCCAGCGCTGTTCTGGGGGCTGGTGGGAGCTCAGGTGTGATACTTTCCTTCCATTCTCCTCTGCTCCCTGGGGCCCCCAGCCCTTTTTATTTTTTTGTTTAGAGACAGAGTCTCCCACTAGTGGCGTAGGCCTTGGGAAGGTGCTGAGGCTGGCCTTGAACTTGCCATCCTCCGCTCAGCTGCTGGGATGACAGGCATTGGCCACTGTGCCTGGCTCAGACTGGTTTCCCTCAGCCAGTCGCATGACAAGGGGCGCGGGGATGGAGCGGGGGGAGCCCTCGCAGGCTGGGGTGCTGGGGCCTGGGGCTGTGCAGCGCTGAGCCCCTGGATCCTGCCAGGCCACCGGCCCCCCAGTGCCCCCTCCCTGTCCCCTCTTCCTCTCTGGTCATGGCTGCAGCTCACCCTGGCCAGCTGCCCACCACCTGCATCCCGGGCTTCCAGGCGCTCCATGCCTTTACATCTGCCCAGCCCCTCCTCAGGAGGACATCCCCTGTCCACTCCGTTTGACTCTGTCCCTGCGTCTCGTCCCCTATGTCATGAGTGGCCCTGAGATGCAGGCCAGGCGGACCAGACTTCCTTGAGATCTGTGTTCCTTTTCCTCTGAAGTCACTCCCTGGGAGAGGGGAACTGGAGCGGCCACGGCCACCAGGCCCTGCCATGGGGAGGAAGCACGGGCAGAGGAGGGAGAGCGAGAGCCTGGCGAGGGATGGGAGTCTGTCCTGGTGGACCCTGGGGGCTCTCCTGGGATCCTGGGTCCCGTCTCCCCATCTTCCCTTTCCCCTGGTGTGTCCCCGTTGCCATCTGCCACGCAGCCCTTGCCATGCCATTTGGACTTTCATCCTCAAAACTCTGAGTTAAAAAACCCTTTTTCTTGGTGAGTAGCCTGCCTCGGGTGTTTTGTTATGGTAACAGAAAACAAATGAATGGGATCTTCTAAAGGCAGGATGATCCTACCTTGTCTGTCCCACAGCTCTCTCAGGGCTCGGGGGCCCTTGGAGTGAACGCTGTTCTCCGATGGCCCAGGGCATGCTCAGCCCCTTCCTGGGTCTCTGGCCTCCTCTGACTTTTCTACCATCCTCTGCCACGTTCCTTGCTGACCTTGAACCGGCCAAACTCTAAGCAGCCTCGAGTACTTTCCTGTGCCTACCCAGTTCTCAACCCAACCTTAGTTTGCGGTTTCCTTTTAGTTATGGAAAACTTTCAAACAGATTCAACAGGAAAGACAGTTCGACCCGCCCTCTGCCTGTCCACAGATCCCACAGCAGTCAGTGCCGTCCGTCCACAGCCGACCTGCTTCCCCATGACAGAGCCAGACGCCTTGCCCTCTGGTCCGCGGCTATTCCAGCATTATCTCCTGAAGATAAAAACTCCCTAAGAAATCAGCTCTGTTCTCTTAACATCTCCCTCAGATTTCCCCCATCGGACCACACTTTTTTTAAAAATATATATATATATTAAATACTTTTATTGTATGTGGTGCCGAGGATCGAACTTAGCGCCTCGCACATGCCAGGCGAGTGCTCCAGCACTGAGCCCCAGCCCCACATTGTGTTTTAATGGCAGCATTTCAGTTTATTCTTATTGAGTATTTACTTGGAACCCCACAGGCTCCTGCCTGTCTCCAGAGGCACGTGGCTTCCGAACGCAGTTGAGGATTGTTTTATTTTACCCTCGATTACGGCTTCTGCCCTGTTGGGTCTGTTTTCTTTGAAAGCAAGCATGGTATCTCGGTGAGGTCTTAACCATCTCTGTCCTCCTTCCGTCTTCTCATGGCTGTTTTTCTGATCTCCTCTCTCTGCAGGACGGTGGCCCTTCTGGAGCGTCTGTAGTGACCGATCTGTGGTTCACCCCGTCCCCGACGCGCCGAGGCTCCACGCGCCGAGGCTCGACTCACAAGCCTTCGACTCACAAGCCTTCGACTCACAAGCCTTCGACTCACAAGCCTTCGACTCACAAGCCTTCGACTCTATGACGGTGCAAAAGGGAGACACATTGGGTGGAAACTCTTTTGAATTTTGAACGTTGAGTCTGCCCCTTCCCTGGGCGGGGGATAGGTGTCAGATCCCCTCTCTTGGCGTGGCCAGTGCCGTGAGCCAGCCAAGCAGTCCCCAGGCCACTGGCCAGCAGCACGGCGCTGGGTGCAGTGCTCAGTACTTTCCGTGGGTTGCAGCGTTTGACCGTGAGAGGCTGAGTCCTGAACGTGCCCAGCGCGGGCTTTGCTGCGCTGCTGTGGGGTCAGGCCTGCAGAAACTGAAGAGGCTTCCCTTGATGGTGAGGTTATTATGGGCTGCACCCCAGCGCAGTCGAGGGGCAGGAGCCTTCTTGCCCCCCTGGTTATGCACCTTGCAGTCGCTGGCTTGGTTCTGGGGTGTCTTGAACACTGCGGTTGTTGGTTGGTTTCTTAAGTCTTGTTGAGTCTGTGGGTCGACCAGTCCCTGCCCCGCTCTGTCCTTGCAGAGGACACATGGGGAAGATTTGAGGTTCCTGAATCCTGACATTGGGGACTTAGACCCTGTCCAGCGATTCCCTCTTCCCTGGTGGTCCCTGGCGTGGGGAGGGCGCCAGGGGCGTGCACTCTGCAGCTTGCTGCTGGCTGGAGCCTGCCGGAGGTGTCTTTGACCGTGTGCGCCTGTCCCTGGCTCCTGAGAAGGTGGCACCAGAGGCTGTGTCAGGTGCAGGGCAGAAGGGACACGTGGAAGGCCGTGCGTGTGTGTCCCCTGGTTAGCTGCCTGGACTGGAGCTCCACAGTGCTGGCTCCTGGGGCTCGGGCTTGGGGACGTCTCTCCCTGCCAGCCCACCTGCCTCCTTAAGATGCAAATCCCCGGGAGCTGGCCCCGGCTGTGCCCGTGCTCGTTCTTCTGTGGAATGGGGAAGATTGGAGGTCCCTGAATCCTGAGATTGGGGACTTAGACTCTCTCCAGCGATTCCCTCTTCCCTAGTGATCCCTGAGGACTGCAGCGGCTGCCTCAGACCTGGGTCCCCCTCCCTGGCCGACCGGGCCTGGTCACCCTGCCTGCCCGGGGCTCTGCAGAGCTGGGCGCACCATCCTGCACCCTGGGGTTCCTCCAGGAGCCCCTCCTCATG